GGTAGCGGAATACCTTGGCCGTTAAATGCGGTCTTTGCATGAATGGTGTAACGATACAACAGCTGTCTCTATGATTGACTCTGTGAAATTGGAATAGCTGTGCAGATACAGTTTACCTCTAGTTGGACGAGAAGACCCTATGCAGCTTTACTGTTACTAATTATCTGGTATAATAAACACTTTAATTTGAGAATATAAGGTAATCGTATATTCAATTTTATTCGTTTAATAGGATTGAATGTGATATAAGTGAAATACCTTTATTAAGTTGTTATATCATTATTCATATGGAGAAGAATAACTAGGAGACAGTTTATGCGGGGCACAGACCCCATAAAGAGTAGATGGGAGTGTCTAAGGATTGTTATGTTAATTGTGGCTAATTAAAAAATATCTTTTTTAATAAAAGCTCGTGTTTTAATTCAAAAATTCACGAATCCCCTCTAGTATCCTTACTACGTGGGGATAAAGTATAAAACAGGGGATCCTGAATAAATACCTATGGGATCACAATTATTAATTTTGTAAATATCTTTTATTTTTATCAATATCCACCGCATCGTTTGCTTATTAAAAATTATCTTTTTTAATAGGAGCGCGATGGATTAGGCTAAAAAAAAGATTATTAATTGGTTGCATGTATTTTATAACCTAGTTGTATATAATCTTATGCTAGTACGACATCTGAAGGCGTACATATTATTGAAAGGGTAAGATTTAAGCTATAGTGAAATTAGCTTTAGTCAAAAAAAGTTTTTTTTTTCTAATCTCTTTTCCCCTTTAAGGTTAAGTGATGAAGACTATTATAGAAAACAAGGTGGAGTGGTCCCTTCTCTTTTGTAATAGTATAATTATGCTTTTTTTCTAGTTATTAATTAATACTTAGCAGTATTTTTAATAATAATGTAAACTATTTACGAAGTTTAACGGCTTAATCTTGCTTTACTGTTTGATTCACAACAAATCTTACAGTCGCGTAAGCGGGGCATAGGATCACAAGACACATTAAGGAAAGGTCTTGGATTTTTGGAAAAGCTACGCTAGGGATGTTTGTCCTTTAGTTCTTTTTTCTTACTTGCTGATCGCGCACCTAATAGAATCGAAGATTCTGTTAAGTGCACGATCAGGGGAAATTATAAAAAAATACTAATTTTATTATAGATAGGTAAGAAAAATGATTAATATTAATTGGGTTAATTTCAAAAATTGCTTATTGTGAGGGAATAAAAAAATCCCATAAATCTGTAAGTAAATTTGAAGCGAATTTTAATTTAGTAATAGGGTTTTAGCGCACCTTCGCCTATAATCCTTCATGCTCACATCCTCTGCAGTGATGGCTTACCCTATCTTCCCCCTCGCTGAGAGTAGGGAAGGATAAAAAAAAGTATATTTTTTTTTATAGTGGGTACTAGTGGGGATGATTGCTACGCTAGGAGATATAAAGGTAAGGTGCACTCAAACGGTAAAATAATTAAAAACGTTCAACGACTATTAGGTGAGTTTTTACTAACAATAATCCTATCAAAAGAACCCGGCACTTTTTATTATATATATATTTATAAATTTGAGCAAATTAGCTTAGAATTGTGTTTACAAATTTACCCCCGGAAGCTTGCTTGGCTCAGAATGAGCAAGCGGTGGTCTACTAAAACAGGGTAAGATAACTCTATGCTAATCTCTTAAATAAATTAACGAAAATCATTCTAAACAAATAAACAAATGAAAAAAAATAAAAATTTAATTAGTAATCACACAAAGACTCCCGGGCGCCACCTGTGGTGGCTGGGAGCGGAGGAAGCGAGATATACTAAAACGGGAGCAATTATAGTAAAATCTCTTCCCACCGCCTCTTCTGAATCTATTAAGCGAGGGATGGAAAATAAAGAAATTAAGGTAAATGTCACTCCAACTATTTTTAAGCAAAATGTGAAGAATAATTTAAAAGTAAGACCCTTTAATGATATGATAAGTGATGTAGGAGATATACAATACTTTCCTGCTTGATCTAAAGAATGAAGAAATAGTGTTTATCATTATAATAGGAATTTAATAAAAAATTTACCTATTTACGATATTAACATAGTAAAAATTATAAAAAGCTATTTTAATATCTATTTTAGTAACCTGTTTCTTAAATATAAACACGTTCTAAATAGAAGAAGACGTTTATCTTTTAATAAAATTTTTTTCGCAAGACCTGAAATTAAGCACACTAATTCTAAAGCAATTGTAACTCTATACACTTTTAATCGAGAAAAATTTGCCTTAAACAAAAAAATTAGGATAATTTCTTTTTTTATATGAAAATTGACCTGTTTATTGGGGTCAGGTAAAAAGTCTACTATTCGATTACCAGTAGATACAAGAGTACTTACTTTTGAATGAAAAAAAAGATTCAAATCTTTTTTAGAAGAAAAAATCAAAAAGGGTAATTTATCATTAAAAACTGTAAATAGAAAGTTGGTTAAGCGATTAATGAGGGAAATGAATAAAAAATTATTTGATTTACGTATAAGAAAGTGAAAATTATTACGAGGTACATTACCAATAAAAACTTTTACTAGACATAATCAAGGTTATTTAAATAAACTAGAAAAAATGTTTTTTAAATTTAATATTATTTTTGTTATAATGAAAGACAAAAATTTACTTCAAGATTTTTATGGTTATTTCTCTGCTTTAAAAGCTAGTAAAGTTAAGGCAAAAGAACAAGCTAACAATTTAGTAAAATATTTATGAAAAAAGGAATTTACTATTATACGTAAATATAAATTTAAACTAAATCTTAATAAGTATAAATTTGAAGAAAAATTTTTAGGTATATTAAGTAATACTTTAAGTAAAATTTATAGTAAACAAATAGAATTTAATATTGTTAATTTAAAAAATATAGTATTTAATACTGATTTATTCACGGAAATGTCTACAAAAAAAATTGAGAGAAATAAAAGAGTTTTAAAAATAATTCATACTATGTTAAATAAGGCTAAGTTACCTAGAGTTAATAGAATACAAGAAAAAGGTCGAATTGTTAAAAGTGTAAATTATAATTTAATAGAAAATAAATATAAAACTCTAGATCTAAAAATTATACTTAGTCATAAACTTGATTTAGATAAACTTTTAAATAATACTTATCTTAATTATGTTAAAGACCACTTCCAGGCGTCAGTGGCTGGTAGCGGGGAGGCTGAGAATAATTTATATCCTTTAAATTTAACTAAAGATGTTTCACCTTATCATATCTCTAATGTATTTTTAGATAAAAAAAAATACATATTATCGAAAAAAAAAAATTATTTGGACTTTTTACCCGGTTTTGATTTTAATAACAGAGCTTCTTATAAATCTTTAAATTGATGAAATAATAAAGTAGATTCTTACACTAAATCTAGTAGTTTATACTATGTATTATATAATCTTATATTTAATTCTATTAAATATAAAAATATGGGAGGAATTAGGATGGAAGTAAGAGGTAGATTAACTCCACGTTATAGAGCAGACCGTAGTGTATTTAAACTTAGATGGAAAGGAGGTTTAAAAAATATCGATTCTTCATACAAGGGATTACCTGTACGTAAAAGTAGAGGTCATCTTAATCCTAATGTTGGTTATTCAATTTTTACATCTAAACGTCGAGTTGGTTCTTTTGCTGTTAAAGGTTGAATGGCTGGTAAATAAAAAAAAAGATTGCGGGTTATTGGTTTTTTGCTGCCCATTTAGGCGAAATATATATAATAAAAATCTGAATACATAGTCTGATCCATTTTGTAAAAGATGGAAATATAACAAAAATTTGAACAGGCTAATTTGCGCAAGAGTGTACTTAATGAGTGCGCGGTTTGGCACCTCGATGTCGGCTTAACTTCTCCTCTGGGATGCAGGACCTCGGTAGGGTTCGACTGTTCGTCGATTAATAAGTTACATGAGCTGGGTTAAATACGTCGTGAGACAGTATGGTTTCTATCTTCTAGAGGGAATTAGAATAAAATAAGGAGTAACCTAGTACGAAAGGAACGTGGGGAATTAAGTTATTCTGGGTTATACCGGGATATACTTTATTAACCTATGGTTTATCTGTTGTTTATATGCCCGATATTAATTTAGGTATAATGGTTATTGATGATCTTCATTAACTACTTTTATACTGGGATACTACTTTCACTCAGGTAGTTGAATATAGTATAGGCACGGCAGGAAAGCTAAGTTAGTCCAAGATAAGTGCTGAAAGCATATAGGCACGAGGCTTACCTTAAGATATTTCTAAAATAGACGTAATATAAGATTACGAATATCCAATCCAATCGACTCCTTGAGAACAATAAAAGAATTTTATCTTTATAGGGTAATATATCTAATCTGTTTGTTCAGTCCTTATTGATATTGGTATAGACTTTGTTTGTAAGAATCTAGAGATTTGTAGGAAAAAAGTACTAATTATCTAAATACTTGTTTAGCTAATATTAAATATTTAAATATAACCCTAGGCCTGGTTAGCATAAAAGAAATGCAATTGTTTTGTAATCAATTGAAGGGGGCGCGATACCCCCACTGGGCTCCAGTATTTATATTTACTAGGTCCCTAATCCCCTAACCCCCCTAGGGGCAAGGTATTAGTTGATAGGCTAAATGTAAGTAAAATAATTCTTCGCCCTCCGGCGACCCAGGGATCGTAGATCCCGGAGGGATCGATTGTTATTATATGTATTACATAAATAATAAAATAAATAAAAAGGGGAGTAAATAAAAAAAAAAAGTTTTACTGCCTAATCTCAGTAGCTCAAAGGTAGAGCAGGTATTTTCCTAATTACCGAATTTAGTTCGAATCTAAAATGGGATGGCGGGTGGTTCCGTTAACAGCTATGATGGTAACCTTAATAAATAACGATTATCATACAAGAGGGCGATACAATGCTGGTGGAAGCGGCCCTTATTCTTTTTTTTGATTATTTATAGTTATTAGAGGGTAACTCCGCGAGTGGAATTATCTTTAATTAGGATTAGTAGTCAAGTGGTACGACACAGCCCTTTCAAAGCTGCGATCGTGGGTTCGATCCCCACCTAGTCTAAATTTTTTTTTTATTTTGGGCGAAGTTTTTTTTTAGGTATATGGTAGTAAGTTCAAAATCATGTGTGGTATTTCGTCTACTGTCACTTTATAATAAAAATAAATATATTGATTTAAGATAATAAGTAATAATTCTATTTTAGTCCTTACCTATCAATATATAAGCTGTTGTTTTTTATAAAAAATTTTAAACCTTTTGTAGGTTACTTCTAAATTCAATAGAGGTATGATAAAAACGAATTTTCAATTTTATTATTTATAAATTAAAAAGTGGTATAAGAAAAACAATCTTAGATCTTGGCCTATAAAAAAAAATGGATAAGAAAGCGGTAAAAGTGTAGTGTTTTAATACTCCCATACCGCTTGCGCTACGAATAACTTCGTAGGAATTAATAAAAAAAAAATTGTAACTACAGGGCGCGGGCTCTAGTTTATTTTCAATATCTTTTTATTATTTTGCTACCTATAATCCGATCCGACCCTTTAGGAGGGGTGGGTGGTAGGTAAGATAAAACCTTCCACGGTGTAGATAATGGATAAGGGGATAAGGGACAAGGAATTAGGATAAGTTATTTTAGTAAAAAGAGAAAGTAATTTAATTTGTAGTAAGTATAGGATAAGAGGCTATAACTTAATTGGTAAAGTGAACTGCTCATAACAGTTTTTATAAGTGTTCAAGTCACTTTAGCCTTATCCACTAAAAATCTTGAATTTTTAAGGGGTTTATGTAATAGTTTACATATCGGACTCATGATATAAATTTGAAGGTGTGAATCCTTTGCTTGCATTAGGGTTTCAGATAAAAATGAAATTGTCCCTCCGGGATCTACGATCCCTGGGTCGCCCTTATTAAAAAAAATTTTTTTTTTATTAGGGCGAAGACTTTTTAAAGCTCTTATTTTTTTAATAGGCTAATTTATAAACATGTCTAATGTAATTAAATTTTGATTATCCTTCCCTACTCTCAAAGAGAGGCAGGAAGGATAATACAAACTGAAAGCTGAAATTGATATACAGGGAATATGCCCGACCCACATAAGATGTAATATAAAACAATGATAACATATTGATATAATCCATAATTTATTATAATCCGAGTGCTGTAATTGGTAGCCAGGGAGTACTTAAAATGCTCTGATGAAATATCGTAGGTGTTCAAGTCACCTCTCGGATAATTATCAATTAGTCTAATTTGGTTTATACTTATTTACTATTATAAAAACATAGGATTACCTTTTATTTTTATTATTAATTCAACTCTATGTGTACTTATTTGTACTTACTTATAATAAGTATAGTATTATTATATTGACTAATTCGTAATAATACTAAGATATAAGCATTATCTGTTTATTTCTGCTAACCCTTCTTGGCCATAATAAAAAAAAAATAAGGCCACCCGTTTCCATTTCGCGGAGCGGAGCGACCCAGGGTTCCTACGAAGTTCTTCGTAGGAACCTTGGGTACCTGGACACTGGGTGTGGACGGAAGGGAAAAAGATAAAAAATTTTGATTTAAAAATTTTCTCCTTGAGCCTGCGGTTTCACCGTAGACGTAAGCGGAGAGAGGGATTTTAATATAAATAAGATATGATTTATGCTGCAGGAGGATACGATCTTGTATAAGGGTTAGGGAGACGTTGTCTGTAACCTCCTATCAAGTGTAAGTTCTTTGGGCGTTTTACTCATAAATATATCTCGGCTCCGCCGCTCCCTGCCTTTAAAATTTTATACGGAGCAATAAATTTAATGTGGCTATATTTTCGCTTTGCGGGAATAAGGGGAGTAAATTTATATCCCTCCGGGTTCCGAGGAACCCTGGGTCGCGGAGCGAAGGATATACTTATTATTTTCCTTAGGCTTGAGAAGCTCAATTGGTTGAGCAGAGCATTGAAGCTGCTTTGGTTGTAGGTTCGAGTCCTATCTTGAGCACTGTATTGTTTGTTTAAACGAATATATTATAATTAATATCTCCTTTTTTAGAGTTATACACAATCCTATCCTATCCTGTGAATCACAATCCTTTATCCCGACTAAAGTAGGGATAAAGGATTGTAGGTTAAAAGACTAAATTTGTATTAGTTACTTACGGCTATAAAGGATTTTTTTTTGTGGCTAAGTCCCTTTAGGAACTATGCTTATAAAAAAAAGATATATTTTTTTTTTGATAAAGGGAAATGCTGTAATTGGAAGCCAGGGTTCGTTTAGGCCGAATTGATCGAAAGGTCGTGCAAGTTCAAGTCTTGTTTTCCCTAAATATCTTGTGGACTAATGGGTAAGTCTAGAATTTTTGATGTTCTACAATACGTGTTCGAATCACGTCAAGATAAAGCAAAGTCTTGTCATAAATTTTTGGTGTTTACTGATGTGCGTTCGAATCGCGCCAAGATAAAAAAGAATAAACCCTCAAAAAAAATTTTTTTTAATTAACTATGGGTACGGATCTCTGTTTAGGTATCGTAGATTAATTAAGAAAAATTTACACAAACATTATACTTTAGCGTAATGAATTAAAAGTTTATTTCTTTTTTTAGGTTAGTGTATTACTACTCTAAGATAACCCCTAAAACAAAATAGCCCGACTATTTACTTAATATTTTATATTTTTTTGTATCATATAAAAATTGTCGTTTTGTATAAAAAAAGGAAGGTTTTTATTTTTTATTTAATTATTTTTGAGGGGATTGCTAAATCATATGGTAAATTTTTCGTTTTCTTATAACCCCCCCCCCCCGTAATCACGGGAAATATACGAAAAATATCTATAGTTCCCTTGGCTAAATTTCATTAGCCTATAAAAAACTAACAATACTTAGTAGGTTTTCTAGTAAAACTTTTTAAATTCCCTCCGGGATCTTCGATCCCTGGGTCGCGAAGCGAAGGTTTATAAGTTGAATATTGAAGTAAAGAAAGTCATATAAGCATCTTTACTCTTAATTCTCATTAGCTCAATGGTAGAGCAGTAGTTTCCTAAACTATTTATTTTAGTTCAAATCTAAAATGGGAAGTATCGCTACGCGAGTGATAACCATTTAGCCTAATTAAATAAATTAAATTTTTAATAACCCCATATAAAAATCACAGATTTTTAAAGGGCTAGGCCCAAGGACTTAGCAAATTTTTAAGACAAAATTTTCTTAAAAAATCATATAAACAAGTTTATATAATTTTTTCTAGTCCTGGGCCGAAAGGCCAGATGTAAAAAAAAAGATCTTTTTTTTTTTAGGGTGACTTATCATCAATATATACTATCTTTTTTTTGCTATAATACTTATAAATATGGCCTATCCATATTTATTAAGGTTAATGATAATTTTTATTTATTGGTTATTTATTAGAGGAAGACACCCGGCCCCCTAATTCTCATTAGCTCAATGGTAGAGCCGGATACTTCTAATATCCTGATTTTAGTTCGACTCTGAAATGAGAAAGGATAAAATTAAATACAAATACTAAATTTGTCTTTCCTTGTCATAACTTTCAAACAAGGCCGGCCTACTGACAACTTGTCACATTCCCTTCGAAGAAGGACGACTTCCCTTAGAAAAGCCAAGAATCTTGCGAGTTTGCGAGTAAGTTCGTGCGACCCTAAGAAAAGGAGGTGGGTATTAATGCGTTATTTGTCCTATTTAGTAGATAGAGAGTATGTAAAGTACTAAGATACTGCTCTATGAGTAGTCTTTTTTCTTGTTAAGTGATTTATTTATTGTTTTTTTCTTGTTACTTTCCTAATTGACATATTTCAAAATTGTAAACGTATTTCAATATTGGAAAAGTAAGGTTTTTAAATTTATTAGTTATACATAATTACACAAAATGGATTATGGAAATTTTGTACTTTTGTATATAACTATGATTTCCGTTATATAACGGAATTGTTTTCAAATAAAACCTAATCAAACAAATTACCTTTCAATTATAACTAAATATAATTGAAAGAACTTTATATATACATTTTTAATAAAAAAGCGTTATTTTAAAGATTTAATGTATTAAAAATAATCCACTAACCATAGAACAGAAGCGTTATTTTTAATATAGTATGCATTTCGTTAATTAGTAAGTTACAATTTTGTAATGTAACTGGCTTAATTTATAATAGATACTTTTCAATTTATAGATAGTAATTTTCATTTTACCTTTCGGCCCAGGACTAGGTCTTTTATGGGCCTAGGTCGAAGGGCAAAAATATTTTTATATTTGATGGTTGGGCCTAATATTTGCTACTTCTTTTGAAGATAGCATGTATCAAAATATCTGCGCAATGGAGAAGTTCTAGGATTACTTGAAAATAAAAAAAAAAGATGATACAAGTTGCCAAAATTATAGGTACAGGATTAGCTACAACAGGTTTAATTGGAGCTGGGGTAGGTATTGGAGTGGTTTTCGGTGCTTTAATATTAGGAGTTGCTAGAAACCCATCATTAAGAGGTCAATTATTTTCATATGCAATATTAGGATTCGCTTTTAGTGAAGCTACAGGTTTATTTGCTTTAATGATGGCTTTCCTTTTATTATACGTTGCTTAATATAGTTTTATTATGTCCTGGTACTTTTCCAGGGGCATCCTGCGACTGGACTTGCAAGTCGCCGCTTAAGAAAGCTGTATCCAGCAAAAAAAAAAACCGAATAATGAGAGTTAATGAAATAAGTTTAGAAAGCCTTATGAGAGAGATGAAAGCTGACTTATTGCCTCGTGCTCATACACGAGACAGTTGGAAGTTCTTCTTTAAGAAGATACCCACGATTCGTTCATGTAAATTAGACTTAAATAGGATCAACGCTTTATTAGCGACAGCGGGTATAAAGCTTAGGCTTAAATCTAATATAAAATTTAAGGAGGAAATCACCCATCGTTAGTTGTGAAGCTTGCGCATTTCTGGTTGAACTAATAAAGCGTATCTATTCCAAGTAGTGTTTACATGGATTGGTCATCATGGCGTAACCGTAATAGTCTTAACCATGGGACATAACCAGGGGAAAGGTAAAGTAATTCCTAGTTGTTTTTTCCCATTGGTGTAACAAAAAAAAAGTGGGTTAGATCAACCAATCTGGGGGAGTGGTGTGTGGTGGATATCTTAACTTGGTTAAGATGGTACACCACTCCTTATCAAGGTGTATTAGTTTAATGGTAGAACCTAACGCTACGGTCGTTATAATACGAGTTCAAATCTTGTATGCACCTATATTTGTTCGTATATTATTATATTTTTTTATGGTATGGAAACTTACTTTATATTTAAAAAGATAGACTTAATTCTTTAGATATACTGGGCTTACATTCAACCCCCCCCCTTATTAGTTTAAAGGTAGAGGAGTAGTATCCTAACTTCTTTATTTTAGTTCTAATCTTAAATGAGGGGGGGGCTTTATATTGCAAATAATCTCTATATTATTTATAAACGATCTCCTATATATCTTAATTATTTTTAGTTTAAGACTTTTCAGACTGTTTTGTATAATTATCTTCTTTTTTTTCTTCTTGAGTAGGGCAGTATAATATCGATTGATATATTAACTAATTAATTATTTTAAGGTGGTTAGTTTTCAGGTAAAATAATCCCTAAATTAATAAAGAGCGTAACATAATGGCTATATTGTTAGGGTTGACTGGTTAGATTATTTCTCTGAAGATATACAAATGAGTATATACTATCATGTGTATATAAGCTAATATAAATTAAAAATAATAAAAATGTTTATGATTCCAACAGTTGTATCACTCCTGGAGGTTGTTTTAGTGCTGGTTCCTGCTTTACTTGCGGTAGCTTATGTAACAGTAGCTGAAAGAAAAACTATGGCTAGTATGCAAAGAAGATTAGGTCCTAATGTTGTAGGTTACTATGGACTTCTTCAAGCATTTGCTGATGCCTTAAAACTTCTTTTAAAAGAATATGTTGCGCCCACACAGGCTAATATGATTTTGTTCTTTTTAGGACCTGTAATTACATTAATTTTTGCACTTTTAGGTTATGCTGTTATACCTTATGGACCTGGTTTATCTATTAATGACATGAATTTAGGTATCTTTTATATGTTAGCTGTTTCATCTTTAGCTACATATGGAATACTATTAGCTGGATTTTTCCATCAAAAAAAGTCCTACCATAATTTTCATTATGGTTTATTACCCGAAAGAATTTCAAGAATAACTTTTGATAAGTCAACTTGAAGCGAAGGATGTTTTGTTTGTAAGCCTACTATTACGAATAGCTTTAGTTTGTACTATGGTTATTTATTGACACGCTTATTAATAATTAAACATCAACGTTCAACGACTAAAAGAGTTTATAGAATAATAAACTTATTTGTAGTATTTGGGGGTTTTTTCCTTTTTATTTTGTTCTTAAGTATAATAATCTGGCATGATGTGGCCTGATTTTATTTCAATTTTTATATACTACATATCCTTATAGTGGAGTATTTTGTTATTTTTTATAATTATATTAAACCTTTGTATATCTTAAATAGAGTTAATTTGACGGATATGCGATCAAGAAGATTATTAAGCACTGAATATAAGATAGGTTATATATATCGTATAGGCTACTACGCAGGTAACTATGCAGGTAAATCTTTATCTATTAATCGGAGTAGCCTTTATTCTAACGGTATATTAAAATATTTTTATTCAACGAAAGTCAGAAGTAACTTTGCAGAGGATAATAATAGGGAGTATAGTTACTTGCCAGATGAAATAAAATCTTTACATACATTGTATATAAAAGATATATATAGAGATAGAATAGCCCCTGTAATTCCTTTTGATACTAATTTAATTTTAGATTCTTGTAGTAATTTCTCCGATGTTAAAGAAAGATCGGAGTTCTTAAAAAAATGAGGATCAAAAGGTGGAATATATATTATAGAATATAAACATAATCCTCTTATTTACTATATAGGTAGAACAACTCTTTTTAAAAGAAGATTTAATAATCATATTAAAGCAGAAACGAACAGTAAATTTCATATTTTTTTTAAATTAGTTGGTTTAGAACATTTCAAATTTTCTATTTTAGAGGTTTGTTCACCTAATGAGCAGGGAATTAGAGAAAACTATTATCTACAAAAATTTTTACCTATATTAAATTCTACTTTTTCTTCATCTTTTTCTGAATCTGCTATTTATACTAGTTTGACTGATAAATTAATGAGTTTAAAATCTGTAACCCTCCCACTAGAAAGGTATAGTAATAAACCCTTATCTGTGTTTGTATATAGTATTGACGATAATTTTATAAATAAAAATTTTGTTAAATATGACAGTATGGCTGAAGTAATTAAAAAAGAGGATATTTCTTATAATACTCTTTTATTATTTAGAGATACTAATGTACCTTTTCGAAGTAAATTGTATTTAACTAGACCTATAATAGATTTTGAATCTACCTTTAATAAAATTCAAGATATATTAAAAGAAGTTAAGATATATGACAATACTGCTCAAAGAGTTTGAGCTTATGACGCTCAAACTTTAAAATTAGTCAAAGGTAGTCCTTTCTTATCTAAAACATTAGCATCTAGTGAATTAGGTATCAGTCGTAATGTTATTAATTATTTTATAGATACTGCAAAACCTGAAGGGGTTAAGGGTACCTATTTATTTAGTAGACAGCTTGAGGATAAAGATATTCAGAATTTTTTAAATGTTTCAGAATTTATTTCATTAGGTAATAAATTAAAAGTCTGAGCGTATGAAGCTGAAACGTTTAAATTAATAAATAATGAATCTTTTTCTAGTTTATCTGCAGCGGCTAAATATTTTAAAGTTGATTATAGAACAATAAGTAGACATTTGGATACTAAAATAGCTACAAATCAGAAGAATTTATCTGTTTATTTCTTTTCTAATGAAGTAGGTTTAGATTTAAAAGCTCAACTTTTAAAAAATACATCTAAGCTTTCTTCTTATGCTCGAATAGAAATTTGAGTTTATAAAAGAGATGAAGATGGTAAAATGAATTTATTGGCTAATCAACCTTTTAAAACTATGCGTGAAGCTGTTCGT